CACATAAGCTTCCAACAAATCTCACATCTCTACGAGAATGTCATCAAGAACTTGTAACTCTAATGGACCATAGATGCTGCGCTTGGCCAACCAATTTGCATATTGATTGCATTCCCTTCAAATACGACTCAGTTAGCAGTCCCAGCTCCTTTGCTTTAACTCTCATATCTGAATAAGAAGATTGTGATCTGGTGAGTTAAACTTTTTACTAAAATTGCTACTACTACCCTAGCTAGAACAACTAAAGGAAGGAAGGAATTTGTTGGGCATGCAAGAAAAAGACCAATCAAATGGACCTACATATACTGTGCAACAGTAAGGGCATAGATGACTGGAAACATATCTTTCACATCATGCAAGTCAATCTCACAACTATCATTTGAAGCAGTCCCATGACCACCATGCACCGCTTAGTTCTTTCAAAAGAAGCAAGCTAAATTACTAAATGAAAATAAGAGGTTTACCACATGCAAAAAACTCGCAATGGTTTCCAAACAATATTTGCTTTCAGTTTCGACACTAAAAACTAATTAAATTTAAGTGCAAACATCTGTTCCAAATTCCAACTTGGCACGTTTTCTGTATAGGAGAGCAAAAGAATCAAGAAGATTTCTCAATAAAGCAAGGATAAAAGAAAGTTTCTGAAAATTTTCAACTTAACTTTGATGCTCTTAGCCAAAGGACAACAACACATCAGAAAAATCCACTGAAATAAAATATAGAAGAAATTTTTTCATGAAAGGGAGAGGAAGGAGAGAATATGATTGACCTTTAGAAGAGGAAGGAAGAGAAGAAGATAGCAACAAAGGAAGAATGAAGTAGAAGGCAAGACAACATTGAAAAAGAAAAAAAAGAGAAGAAAAGATCTGTCTAGAGCTAGTTATAACCTCGTAAGCAACTCATAAACAAAGATAGGATATGAAGTAATTTTCTTTTATACTGCACGTTGGCTAATATTTACAGCCTCAAAACCAGCCAGAATTCCTCAAATTTAAACAAGTCGGTATCTTATTATTTTCTTCATTAGTAAAAAGAAAACATATAATAACATACTTTTCCATTCCAATCAAATTAATGCAAGGCAGACCATAAAGCAGTCAAGTAATCTGAATTTTCATTATAAACTAAGCAGCCAATATTGAATAGTAAAGCTACATGTTAGGTTGACACAACTACATAAGCAAATGCCATAATGAGCTTCAGGAGAAACAGAAAAAGACTTGCATGAGAAATTTATGAAGCACTGACAATTATTAGGTTGATACAATTATGGAGAAAGTCAGGGAATGAAATCTATGAAATCCTTGCTATCAATACATTTTTAAGGAATTCAATCAGACACTCATAATATTATGCAGTAATAATCAGCCTTTGAATTGCTTTTAAGGGAAAACATGACTAACAATTAGCCTTTGAATTGCAGTAATAATTATAATAGTAATAACTATTCTATGCTCAATCAAAAATGCATTTTAAGCATCCAATCAAACTGTTAGTCCTCTTTTACATCATTCATTTAGTAAAATATTTGATCTAAAAGCCTAGAGAATCAGCACAAACTACAAGGTGAGAAAACAGATATATGTTTGGAAAAAAATGAAGCAATATCGATTGATCTCTTTCAACTATTTCTTCATTTTGATAATTATTTGCCTTATCTTTAACATCCACAGCTTCTAGAGGAATAGCCTACATTGTTTAAAAAAAACCTCAATATATGGCTATCAAGGACTATATTAGAATGATGGGCAAAAAACCTCAGCGGTCATTAAACTATTGGCGGGATCATGTTTTGGCCATCGAACTATTTTTTGTCAATAATTGGCCACTAAACAATTTAATCCGTAAACCCGTGACCATTTCGTCGTTAATTGCTCTTAAGTTCTGAAATTAGCATTACACGTGGCAATGCCCGAGGGCAATTTTGTCCAGCAACTATGCGACCTCCTTCTCCCCTGAATTTCTTTCCTCAAACAATCACCGAATGGAACATTATGTGGAGTAAAAAATATGGACTCAATTGGGAGCCCCAAATCTTCAACCACAAATCAAAGATATTAGGAAGGCCATATTTTTCCACAAGGATCTGAGCACTATTTTTCCATTTCCAAAAGTAATGTTCCGCTAATAACAGTATGCATATTAAGAAGAGCCGTACCAGTCCAAGATTATCAGTTAATGCATCCAGCACTTGCTCAGCTCCGTCGCATCCGGCTGCTATATGCAGAGGAGTCAAGCCCCCAGGGCCTTTGACATCGGTCTAAATACATGGCAGATTGGACTTACCTAGGGCAGGGACAAGGCTATAAGCGGGACTGTGACCCGATGCGAGAGGCAGAAAGAGTAGCCCCTCATTCAGGTGATCCGGCCACGCGACAGTCCGGCCACACGAAAAGCATCCAAAACAATTCTCCAGTCTGGGAACTGGGCAGAAGAAAGAATACCAGCCTTCCCCGACCTATGACCATGACCACTCATTTCATGTGGGTAAGCTCAGCGCGCCCCCCGATCCGAGCTGACTCTCTCCTTCTAGTTCCCCTCCCGCATTCTGGTATCTTAGGAGGACTTCAACCATGGACCTACAATTTTGTCGAACAGCTCTATGGAGCAACCCATTTTCCAGCAGTGCATCTTCAATTGAAGAGTGTTTTTCTTCACCCATGAGTTTGTTGACCAGAACATTCAAAAGCATCTTGACCACTACACACCAGTCATGTTCGACTGAGAACTCTATAAGCCATCTGAAACGCTGGAAGGGAAATGTATCCAAGTTGGGATCTTGAAGACCCAATCTAAACTTCAACTTACTTCTACGGAGGAGCCAACCAATTTCATGTATGAAGTCTAGAGCTTGTTTGAGGAAAGAAATTCAGGGGAGAAGAAGGTCGCATAGTTGTTGGACAAAATTGTCCTCCCATTTTGCCACGTGTATAGCTAATTTCATAGATTAAAAGCAATTATCGATCAAATGGTGACGAATTTATTGATTAAGTTGTTTAGTGGCCAATTATTGACAAAAATAGTTCGATGACCAAAACATGATCCCGCCAATAGTTTAATGGCCGCTGAGGTTTTTTGCCCTAGAATGATTGATAAATTGAGCATGGAAAATGATAGAACATGAATATAACGCATAACAATTATGAGAAAAGATATCCACCCCAAGAATAATTCAAACTGAACCTCCCAACTTCCATATGATTTAGATGCATAACAATTTGTGTTGAGAAGGCAATAGTAAAAAAATAAAAGAAATTGGTAAAATTAACAATTTCAACACCCACCAGAAACTTCGTGGAAACCACTAAATAGCACATAAATCAGAAATTTGAAATTCAAAGTTAAGGTAATCTAGAAACATGACTGCAAAAAAAAAAAAAAAAGACAATAACCTGAAAAGCTAAATCTTTCTCCTCCTTTGAGTATTTCCTTGTGATTTTCCTCAACCTATCAAATAGGCAGCAATCTAAGATTATGAGGAGCAGCAAAACTAAAGAAGCAAGCCAGAAATTAAAAGGTTAAGAAATGAAAAGGAAGCAGAAACTTGAAGGTCCAATCTAATGTAAAATTGGAAAAATGACAGGGAAATAAATCAAAAAAAATTCACAACCTGAAAAGTTAAAATTTTTTCTCCTTTCAGTAGATATTCCTTTCATTTTTTCAAACTGTTTACACATTTGAATACTATAACGTTGAGATACCAAGAACCATACACTACATACACTAAAAAAAAATGACTTCACCAATAATGACTAACCATAGAAAAAAGGGCTTTAAAAATCTCATTTGGCAAATTCACATACAAAGGAAATAAAAGCACAAGTAAGATATTGTCAATAATATTAAAAAACCCTAAAAAAGTATAAACAAACAATTATTATCAGATCAAACTTGGCTGTTTTATCTTACAATTACTACAGGCAGAATCGACTACTATTGTAGGCAATGCACCACATAGTTCAATTGTCAACTCTGTTTTACCCAACTTGCTCACAAACACTTCTAGAACAAAGGCCGTGTAATTAAATGATAATGCTCAAAATGTAAAAGCATTTGTTAAAAAATTGATCTTCTAGTTTTTAAAACATTAATGAGATGTTATCAAGATTAAGATGCAAAGAAGAAAAGTAAGTTTGTAAAATCTACCCATTAAATTGGTGAAACAAAATGTGCAACCTAACCATGCTATGATAATAACCAAAGTAATAGGCTCTTTGAAGAGCTAAGAGAACTGGAAAAAAAAAAGGAAGAACAGGCCAGAAAAGAAATTGCCCCAGTCCAAATCATCATTCAAGAGTAGAAAGGCAAAAAAAATTATTAGGCACAACTATTCAATATGTTATTTTTAACTTTCACAAGCAAATGTACATGTATCAACCCCGTGGGAGTTTCTCTTCTAACTTCCTAACCTTCAACTAGCACCTTCTTGTTGAGGAAAACAATCTCTTCATAGAATCAAATAAACAAAAGAATGCAATTAGGAGATAATCTAAATATGTTAATTTTCCTATCAACAAATAAATTTAAGATTTTAGGGAAGGGGAAAAAATTCTGTTATTCAGGGAAAAAAAACCCCGAAGAATACAATATCAGTCTGTTTACCACCATGTATGCATTATCTTCAACGAATGTCGCACTGGGAGTTATTAAGTGGTGATTTTTTTTTTATGGCATTCATTGTAAAGAAATTGCACATGAGCCACTGTAAATGAATCATTCTTTTTCGTAGGACCAATAATTACAATAAGAAAGTAAACTATCAACCAAAAGACAAATACATCAATAGATTGAAACTGCATATAAGCAAGCTAACAAATGTATTTCAAATCAAATATTAAATAATCCACAATAAATGAAAATTTCTTATTAAAAAATTCAGAGACTACAAAATTACAAGAATCTCATGGTAAAAGAAACATTAAGTAAACAACAGTACATCAAAAGACTAAACATACCTAATTAAGGTGAAAAAGGCTAAACATAGAACAAGCTTAAGTAGCCTTAAAGCTAGTGAGCAGCTTCCCTCCTATCACTACCAGCAATAAGCTTAACACAAAATACCTATTAAAAGCACCAGATCAGTTTTGGATACTCAAAAAAACCCAAAAAGAAAAAAGAAAAAAAAATTGCAATCATGGGCTCTGAACCAAGCATAAGCCCTGCATACATAAAAATCTTTCCTTCTTGTATAGGATGATGGCACATAAACATTAAGAAACAATATCATTTTCCATTGAATGCATTCTGCACAGAATATTTGAGACAAAGAAATGGAGGAAGAAGTGAAAATCTGAAACCCAGACAACAAATTGAACAAAAGGTGAGATGGCTAAAAAAAAATAAATTCACAGTTAAGAGTTTGGCCAAATATACACGGTTTTGGCAGTCACTTTTTCCTCACTGTGTCACAGAATTTCTTGCACTGTACAAATGTAATTTGGGAGCAAGGACTTTTTGGAATTTGATACACCAGACATGGTAAGCTCAACAAAAAAACTCAATATTGCACTGAAGCAAATTACAGCATAAAAATTTTTGGTTCCCCTGCAAAACTCAGACACCCATAAACCATTTTAGCAGTAAGTGTTAACCGCACTTGTAAATGCAAGTACACCACTCTATGCATACTCTAAATACAAAGTCACAACTACTGCAATGGAAAAGTAATGACAAAGGACATCTATTCCAAGCACAATTCAAACAGGATCTCCCAGTACCATATACAACTTGGCTGCATAACCATCCGTGTTAAGAAGGCAATAGTAAAGATAAAAGGCAAAACTAAGAAATAATACCTATAGCTACTTTATGAAAACCAATGAATAGAATATAACTTGAAAGCTGAATTTCAGGTGATCTGCAAAGATACTTGGGGAAAAAAAAGATCACAACCTAAAAAAGTTAAATCTATCTCTTCTTGTGGATTTTTCTGGCGTTTTTCCTCAATCTACTAAACAGAAATCAAAATATGACATAAATGCAAAGTAAGACTATTAGCAGCAGCAAAACTAAATAACTAAACAAGAAATTAAAACATTTAATCTTCAATGGAAAAGCCGAAAAAAAACAGAAGGAAGCAGAAACTTGAAGGTCCAGTTTCGCGTAAAATTAGAAAAGAGGCTGGAAAATAAACTACAGAAAAATTCAAACCTTGAAAAGTTAAATCATTTTTTCTTCTTCCCTTCGACTTTTCTTCCATTTTTCCCTCAATCTATTTGAAGAAAAACGAGATCCCTATCTGCCCAATAGATAGCAGAAATGAGATCATTAACAGCAGCAAAACTAAAGCACTAAACAAGAGATCAGAAATCAGAAACTTTTCTTACAAAAAAAAAAAAAACAAAAACAAAAATTTGAAGGCTAGAGTAAAATTGGAAAATGTCTGAAAACTAAATTAAAGAAAATCGCACAACCTGGAAAGTTGATTCTTTTTCTCCTCCTCGTGGACTGAGTGAACTTTCAATCCATTGTCCTCAATCTATGAGAAGCAAAATGTGATTGTGAGTAACTGCAAATTGAAGAAAACAAAGAAGGAAACAAAAACTAAACAAAAAAACATCTAAGTGCCTTCTTTGTTTTCTTCTTATTGTTGATTAACAAAGAAAACAAGAAAGAAAACATGTAGATGACTGACAGACCTGGTCATCGTTTCAGAGAGAGGGAGAGCGGGAGAGGAAGAGTCTTCGTCTGAGGTTTGAGGGAGACCGAGATAGAGAAAGCGAGATGGGAAGCGGTGGTAAACATCCGTCATAGTACCTTCTTTTTTTTTTGAAGGCACAATGGAATCCAAAGTAAACTCACGTGCACAGACTTTTGGACGAACACTCTCTAGCCAATAACCATAGGCCACATCACCAACACAAGTACCTCTTTTGAGCCATGGCATTCGCTCTTTTATATATATGTTAATGACAATATCATTTTAACCAACACGTTATGAAACACCTATACTTTATTACACAATCATTAAACGAGTCTTTGATATCTCTATGAGCTTTGATACTTCAGCACCAGGTCTATCATATTTTAACAATATCACCACCCAATTAACCATTTTAGATCACACGTGTCCTTAGTATAAACACCAAATCGCTTAGATATTGAAGCAGATGAGCTAAAATTTTATTGAAAAGAAAAATCTAGAATTCGTTACAGAGCCAATGACCTGTAGTTATTGCTTACTAAACTGAATGTAGCGAAGAAGTATTAATATCAGAAGAAAAAAAAATGAGAAAAAGGAGGAGGTGCAAAAGCATGACCAGACTGTAATCTGTACATGGGTATGCTATTTAGCGTCCTTATACTGTTTGGCACTTGAGCCTGCCTAGGACGACAAAGAAGACTGGGATGTTGCAGCTGAAGCCTTGCAAATGGGACACCAATTCTTCAACCGCAACCACTGCTGTATACATGCCACGTGATAACCATGTTCACATCCCAGTTTCCCAATTTCATCTCCAACCGCATACTCTTCCTGCAAAGTAGATGCTTTTCATCAATGTTTTTGAGTGTGCATGGAAAGAATTCAAGTATAACCAATAGATGGGAAACAATTCTAGCAAATCAAGAAAATCATCCACCATAGGAAAACATAGATGAGGCATCAGATATTCTGCAGGCATTCAAATAGGCCTAATTCTAAACCAGGAAACTTGTAGCATTATCAAATTTGTTGTGAGCTATTTATGCGTCATTGTTGGAACAATCAAGAATAATGCATCACAGAGAACTGGTTTCACCCAGTGCCAATCTCAATAAATTATACATAATATGCACAACCAAATTGATGCAGCTGAAACAGAAGGCTCATCGTCATCATCAGCTAAGTTGAATTTGAAGCAAATTTACTGAGGTTCACCCAGAAGAGACACAGGCAAGCATGCACACACATTTAAGTCTTCACAATAAACATTCTCTTTATTCATCTTTGGCCTTCCTTTCTTTTCTTCCTTTTTTTCTTTTTTTGGGGGGGGGGAGAGGTGGAGTACCGCATTTGTCCGATTTATATTCTGGTCCGTTTCTTAGGGAATTCATTTTTTCAAAAAAAAAAAAACCTACTTCCACTAGAGCTCTTTTTAGAAATACTGGCCAACATTACCAACTTAATCCAAGCTTACCTTAAAATCTCTCATCTAGGATGAGCACTGATGGTAATTCTATGCTAAAGTTAGGCTGCTTCCATTTTGAGGGCCAACAACTTTTTTAACGGTAACTATAATTCCAATCAAAGCACATCCAAACCAAAAGCATAATTTCTAAAGCATATATTTGGTAATGAGGACACCACCTGGCAAATACTGCATTTAATATCAGCTTCATCCTCACTACATCCAGAGGCCTCAACATCTACCGTAGCAGTCTGGTACATGCTTTTCGTGATGCATTTAGCAAATGCCTCTTCCGAGAGTGCTGTGCTCACAGTACCCATCCTCTCCTCTAAAGCAAGTAATTCCTATCAAAAAGGAGTACAAAAATAGTCGAGAAGTACGAAAAGAGGGCATTGTACATCAGCGGCACCAATTTTATAGCCAAGAAACAAATGAGAAAACTTTCATGAGTAACAAAAAAATGCTGATTTAAAAGACAATTGTTATAAATTCAAGTTCGTACGATCTGGTTAGCCAGAAAAGGAATAAAAAGTAGTTAGAACAATATTGTACTTAGTGATTCCAATCTATTGCATCTTATGATAGCCTACCTCATATGACATGTTATCAATATCTAATCTCATATCTCTATGCTGGTCGTAGAAGCTAAGGTGGCCAAGAAATAAATCGTTCTCCAAAGCAAGTAATTGCTGAGTCAAATGGATAAGAAGTAAAGTCAACATACAAATGCCAATCTGCATAAATCATAAAGTTACCAAAGATTGAGTACCTCATAGTTCAGCTCTTCATCCTGCCCAATTCTCTCAAGAGCTAATTGTACCTGCTCCAACAAAATAATACAAGTTACACAAAATTGCCAAGGCAAGATCAAGAAAACAGAATTGAAGTATTGAGTTCTCTGTTAATCACATAAGTGAGAAAGGAGTGTAGTTCTTCAGATGAACCAGAGAAGTACCTCAGCAACTCCATTCAGGTTATGTCGCCGGAAAGCATGAGTAATACCATGCTCTGTGGGCATCAAGGACATTATACCAGTTCCATTGCCACCAGTTCTCACAGATAGTCCACAAGAGCTTGAAGCATTTGAAGAACCTTCTATGGAAGATTGATGTGATAAACTATGTAAATTAGCACTATTAGGAGTTTCAGGTCTAGATAATTGTGCAATACCGCTACTGGATTCACTGGTTAATAAAGCATTTCTGTTGTCAATATTTGAAAGCCCGATCCTAGTATTTGAGTTCAATGCCCTCCGAGTCCTCAGAGATGCAGTGCGAGAATCAGTATTTGAAACCCAGCTTCTACCATGTCTTGAGCCAGTGACAGAAATTCCTGTATTGGAGGCGGCGACATGTCCATCTTCAGAACAAGCCATGTTACCTCTTTTTCCGGAAGAAGATGCACCAATTTGTCCTTCAGGACTTCTTTTTCTTAAAACATCCCTCTTAACCTTAGATTCTGAGGCTGAACCACCTTGTGGGATAACATCAGATATGGAGTTGCATCTTAAATTTCTCAAACCATACCAACCCCCATTGTACTTCCTAGTCCCTGAAGCTATACTATTTGATGTAGAAACAACAGATGTAACAGAGGGACCAGGAAGAGGCTTTTGACAGCCAGATGGAGGCTTGTGACGAATTATTCTATGAGATTTATTATTTGATCCTGTGGTCAAACTCCCTACTTTTGTCAGTGTGACTTTACCAGCACTTGAATCTTGTAAATCAGGCTGATGTACTGTGTGATTCCTACTTACTAAAGGGATGTGTTCTGTAACAGCTGGCTCATAACGAACACCACAAGATTCTGCAGAATCATTGTCTAAGTTAGACGAAGATTTCCTATAAGAATCAGAATCATGTCGTGATTTTCTTCCATTAGTAATTGGAAAACAAGTCCTTGAGGAGCTCCCAGTGATCTGCTTGCCACTGGAAGAATGACAGGAAGGCCTTGAATTTTTGTATTTCTCAGCACAATTACTTTGATTACTCTTTCCATATTTAAGTCTTCCATTGCATCCAATACGATTGCAAAATTCAGCATTTTGTTCTCTTTTATCAATGGCATCCCTGGAAACAAGACTAGATCCTTTTTTGGGGACAACCACCCCAACTCTGTGTCTCCTACCAGAAAACTCATCCATCTTACTTTACTATCTACCCTTATTCCTGTATGAGCAATAACATATTGAAGAAGTCAAGACCTTCATATAGGTTTGACATCTAAATTAACATAAAACCTGCTCCCTTACAAGCGAAAAGAGATTATTTTAAAAAAAAAAATTGTAGTTGAACAGCATTTAGACAAGTATTAAAACAATGAATTGTGGTTAACCAGTTTACCAATGACAAAGATAGCAGCAATTAATTCCAGCAAAGTTAAGCTTCAAATTATCGAGTAACAAAAACTAATGTACTCTATGAGTAGATTCCAGATTAAGTTCAGGAAGCAAGCATCTCATATAAGAAACTGGAAGTAATTATGTACACTCAGAGAAATTCCTGTTATAATAAACATGAGAAGCCATATTCAATAGAAGGGAAAACATAATGATAAGCATCGCTCATCTTCAAGAGAGGAGCAACATTGAAACAAAAAAGACAGGCAGAAATGCCAATGGAGGGAAAAATTCACATAGTATTTTTGCTCAAGAAATCAGTTTAGCCAATGATATATTGTGGTTCACAAGACATTCTGGGGTATTCATAGGCACCTAGAGGAAAGTTCTGGATAAAGACCCCAATCAGACATAAAACGATAATTATCATTAATTAGCTAAATTCTTTTCCTACATTAGTAACAGCCAAATTACCATAAAGGAGCAGGAAAACTCAACTCATAAATTGCATCCTAGTTGTGGTTTTACTGCCTAATAACTGTGGGGAGGGAAGGCGATTCCACATCACTAGAATAAGATAGGAGGGCTGAGCATGTAAATGAGGTACATAAACAACAAGGGAATCCATCTTCCATTAAGGTAAGCCAGAGTTCAGGTAACATAAAGGCTCACTGGAGATCTATTCTTACTATAGCAACAGCACAGATTAAAGCAACACGGCAACTAACAGTACTTATATATACAAAAGGCAAGATCTCCTCCAAACGAATTGAAGAGCTTAAACACAAGAAATTCCTGTAGAACACACAGATATGGAAATCATACAGCAACCTTCATTTTCCTCAAACAAGTAGATAGATGCAGTTTCCGGAAAAAGAAAGTTGCAGACAAATATCACGTAATACACAAACAAAAGTGGCTTATTAGAGAACACCTCCATTACGATTAGTAATCATATGATTATAGATACTCAAATACAAAAGCAAGTCATATAACAATCAGCA